GCGCTCTACCACTTGAGCCACAGCGCCACTTCCTGTTTTCTAGTGGTTTATTGGAGGTAAGAGTTTCACAGTCTTTCCTGCCCGGGCTGGCTTTGAACCAGGATTCTCAGATCTCAGCCTCCTGAGTAGCTAGGCATGATTACAGGCGTGAGCCACTGGCACCTGGCTTCCAAGACATTTTTGCCCAGGCTGACTCCAAACTTGGATCCTCTCCCTTCCCCACCCTCCTAGGTAGCCAGGATTACCAACAAGAGCCCCCACCCCCACCGCCCAGCAAGGTCGCCCTTTTAAATTACTGAGTGGGGGCTGGGAAGGGGGCTCAGTGGTAGAGCGCTCGCCTCACATGCATGAGGCCCTGGGTTCAATTCCTCAGCACCCCATAAGCAGAAAATGCTGGAAGTAGCGCTGTGGCTCAAGTGGTAGGGCGCTCGCCTTGAGCTGAAGAGCTGAGGGACAGCACCCAGGCCCAGAGTTCAGGCCCCATGACTAACAAAAAAATAGAGTGTCAGGGTCAATGAACAAGATGGGGTGGTCTTTAGAAGGTCTCTGGACAGTCCCAGACATGCAGAATGTCCAAGAAGGAAACTTCAGATCCTTCCATGGGCCAACAAAATAGTTGTTACAATTTGCAAAGGGCTAACACTTCAGACCTACTAAGAGCACGCAGATTATTAAGAATAATGTTTATTGAAATGAACCCCAGGAAATGGAAACGAGCTTTGTTTGTTTTTGCAGCAGCGCCACTCACTGACCGCCATGCGGATACGGGAGGGAAAAACTGGGAGACGCGGGAAGGGGTGATATCACGTTGTCCAAAAGAAAATGTTCTCTTTGCCTGACTTCAGTAACAGTAACCAGCATTTTCCAATAAAGCTTTTTAGAAAAAGAATAATGTACAAAGATTAGCACTAGGAGAGTCATAGTACTGGAGCTCAGCGGACAGTGAATACATACATCACAGTGTCTGCCCTCGCGAGCAGCTAGGCTGGAAGGTGAAGGAAGAATTGTTCGATGGTCACCCATTGTGTGGTTAAACGTTAGAAGAGGTGACAGTGTCCAGTGCTTGAGATCATTTGGGGAAACAAGACACTGAGACTATATTGTAACTTAAAAAAAAAAAGGAATATACCAACTTCTGTGACAAAAATGTAAATGAAAAATGCACTTACCACACATGCCTGTGACAACCTCGGGGGATGCATCATCTTTTCACACTAGAACGATTTTATTACAAAGATGTGTGGTTTTGGGCAAATAACAAACGAGATACAAAAAGCGCATGCCTGCCGGGAAGACTGGATATAGCGGTGGTAACTACCAGACTAACTGTAGTAGCAAAAGATGAACGAAAGACAGGCTGAGGCTTTGTGATCTAAGCCCTGGGGTCCTGCAGAGCTGCCAAGAGGGATGGGAAAGGGTTTCTGTTCCTATAAGGTCCTTTCTGTGGAAGATTCTTTTAGAGAAACAACCCATAGCAGGTGGGCCGGTAGGTCAGGAAGTTACTGTGCAAAGACCGAGTCACGCACTATTGAAGAGAACAAATCCCAGCACCTGAGGGAGGGAGGAGCCGCAGGCTGAGGGATGCTCGTGGGGTCCGGACAGGCAGGCTGTAGACTCGGGAAGGGCTAATGTTCAGTTCCCAGGCAGCCATTGTCCCAGGTCACAGGGGTGAGAGAAGAGCAATGTTCTATCAGAAAGGATGGGGTTCCGTCTTCCCATTCCGTTCCCATTCTCAGCTCTTGGGGGGTCACTCACGTAGGGAGAGTGCTCTACTCACACTGCCAATTTACATCTTGATCTCATTAAAAACAAAAAAATCCTTCACAGAAACTTGTGTTAGATCAAGTATCTGGGCACTCAGTAGCCCAGTCAAGTCGGCACACAACCACCACAGCTGTTAAAGGACACAGTCGTGGGTCTTGAACTCTGGGCCTGGGCGCTGTCCCTCAGCTCTTCAGCTCAAGGCGAGCGCTCTACCACTTGAGCCACAGCGCTACTTCCGTTTTTCAGTGGTTTATTGGAGATAAGAGTCTCATGGACTTTCCTGCCCGGGCTGGCTTTGAACCACGATCCTCAGATCTCAGCCTCCTGAGTAGCTAGGGTGACAGGTGTGAGCCACTGGCACTGGGCTGCATGCTTGTACTTTTAAACATAAATGCTCAGTGTTATATACATGTGAACACTGTGGAGACATGAAGAGATGGATGGATGAGAGCAGATCGGTGATAATAGGTAGACACAGACAGACCCCATTTTTATTATCCATTCCTCAGTTGCTGGTACCTTGGCTGATTCCAGTTTGGTAATTGTGAACAGAGCTGCACCAAAAAAAAAAAAGGGAGGGGTATGCAGGTGTCATTCCCTGCAGATATGGCGGAGAGTGGCGTAGCAGGGTCACGAGGTCCGTGCCGAGTCTGTGGCAGAACCCTCAGACTGATTTTGGTAGTAGGTGCACTCATTCACACTCCATGATCAGTGACTGAGGATCCTTTTCCACACATCCTCCCCAGCATCTGTTTTCTTTCTCTGTTTTTTTTTTTTTTTTGGTCATGGGGCCTGAACTCTGGGCCTGGGCGCTGTCCTTCATCTCTTCAGCTCAAGGCTGGCGCTCTACCGCTTGAACCACAGCGCCACTTTCTGTGTATGTGGTGCTGAGGAATCGAACCCAGGGCCTCATGCATGGGAGCACCTTCCCAGCCCTGCTGTGGTTTTCCTGATGATCGCCACTCTGACTGGGCTGAGGATTTGGTGGCTCTGTGTCTAATCTGTGCGCCTTTGCTTCAGGAAGAGGCCTTTGCACACATGGAAGGGATATGACTGGATAGTTAAAAAATAACGGTTTCGAGGGTTTGTGCTTGCCTGAACCATGCCCTTCTGGAATATTCCCCTCACCCACTTGAACTGCCCAAAGCTCTTGAATTAAGGGTCGCTAAGACCCCCCTCAGCACCGCGTGTACCTTCTCCGTGGCCAGGTTGAGGTCTACCTGTCGCTCTGTGGACGGGAGAGTCCCAGTGTTTTCCACAGTCAAGCGGCCGTGGTGTCTGGAGACAGGAACTGTAGTAGTTCTATTTATAACCCTCTTTGTAGCGCATCTTTGCTTCCTGGAGGTTATTTTTATGGGTGCTTTTATGTTCCTTTCAAAGGAGAAGGCAGAGTCACAACCCGGTCGACTGGAATTGGTAGGAATGCGTGGCGCACTCTTCCCGTGTGTAAATACGTGGTTTTCCTGTTCCGTGTCTTCCCCCACCACCACCCACCCCCAGCGCCCGTGGCTGCCCCTTCCAAAGTGGCGGGTCCCACGTGGGGCTGAATTAGAGGCCCCTTCTGGGACCCAGTGTGTGTGTGATCCTCATTGGTTGTGGAAACAGCTGAGTCTGCTTGCTGAGTTGCTTCTGAGTGGAACCCCCCCCCCAGAACCCCTCCTGTGGGACATACAGAATTAGAGACACCCGTCACGCTGCTTGAGGGGAAAGAACTCACCCGCTGTGGGGTGTGGATTGTGGGCTGACCTTTGCTGAGAGCCTTCAAACTGCTGAGCCTCCTGTGTACATGAGTCTGGTGGCCTGGAGTAGCTCCTCAGGCGGCAGGCGCGGCTCCTGGGCCGTTTTGGATGTTGGATGCCCCGTGGCTCAGCGCGGAGGACCCTGGTCTCTGAGTTCAATCCTCAAGGGGGGTGGGATGGGCAGCTTCCTACAAAAGAATGGCAGGTATTTGCACCAAGACAAACAGGTGAAGCCTGGCTTCCCAGCCCGGAAGGACACGGGTGAGGAGCCTGCGCAGCCTGCCATGGCTGCTCAGCGCCCGTGAGGAGTTAGTTCTGTCGGTGGCCCAGTGGCCCCGATAGGAGATGGGGGTAACTTGCTGCTCATCCTTCCAAGAACCTCAGCCCAATCCGACCATCAGGAAGACTCAACTCCGTAGGCCAGCCTACCGGGCGCGATCCACCCTGTTCTCAAGTCTCATCGAGACTTGGTCGTGGTGGATCGTGGCATAATGTCCCCCGTGGATTCTGACGAGAAGAAAGCCTGCAGTCTGGAGGAACACGGGGTGAAGACCAGAGGAACTCCAGGGATGGTTAATGGTGACATACTGCTAAAAGTGGTTTGTTGTGTTAGAGAAATACTAACCATATTAGTGAGATGGTAGCCCTGCGAGAACTGGATGTCTGTGAGTGTATTTTTACAACTTTTCTGGACACTTAAAACTATTGTAAAGTTTAAAAGTATTCAAGAGAGGGGCTGGGAAGGTGGCTCAGTGGTAGAGCGCTTGCCTTGCATGCATGAGGCCCTGGGTTCGACTCCTCAACACCACATAAGAAAAAAGCCAGAAGTGGTGCTGTGGCTCAAGTGGTAGAGTGCTCGCTTTGAGCTGAAGAGCTGAGGGACAGCGCCCAGGCCCAGACTTCAAGCCCCACAACTGACCAAACGAAAGTATTCAAGAGAAATTTTGTTGTGGTCCTGGATGTTGAACTTAGGGCTTTGTATGTGCTGGCTTGTGCTTTCCTGAGCTACATCCACTGCCCCGAATTTTAAAATACTTAAAATTATAAAAAACAAGCGTGTAGTATAAATACCTTCCCTTCTTACTGTGTCCATCCATGCCTCCGTCTCTCCTGTCCATCCTTCTGTGCACACTGTACCCAGAGCAATATCAATAGTGCTCATTTTAATGTATTGGATAACATGGTGGAATTCATAATGATTTCTTTTTGAAGTGCTTGAATGGCTTTCAATGTGTGAATTCTAGCAGCATGTTAAAGTCATTATATTGCTCAGAGGAGGAGTCTGGAGAGACGCCAACCATCAGGAATAAATATTCGCATTACGATCAGAACCGGCCTCCCACTTGATTTTGTAAAGACCTGCAGAGTATTTGGCCCCACAAAGGGCTTACACATGGACAGCAGTCCAGTGCCTTTCAATGCGGGGAGCATTAATTGCATGTATTATGATGGCCAGACATACCTAGGGATCTCATTGCATGATTCCCCATCTCCGACACAGCCCTCGTGGGGAAGAGTCTACGCCATTGCGCTCCACAAAATGACGGATCCCAGTCTGGCATTGAGAAAGAACCATCCAGAAGAAGACGCCATTGCGTTCCCAGTAGAGCTCTGCCTGACGGGAGAGGCAGGTCTGGCTTGGGTTGCTTCGGGTGAGTATAATTGGCTAGGAAGGTAAACAGAAACAAGACCGCATCGAGAATACTCCGCCTTCCTCCCTGTCCATTTGTGAGAGCAGCAAATGCCAACAAAGCCGTGCAGGACAAGGGTGTAGGGAAGGCCCTGCCCTCTACTTGCCTGAAACTGGGGAGATCCACCTTGATCACAGGTGAACCGCCGAAGACAACGCTCTGTGGAAGAGAGAGGCCGGGGCCTCTACCGCCTGGGCCACGCCTTCAACCCTTTTGCTTTTAGCTTGTGTCTCAGACAGCACCTCACACTTTTTACACGGCCAGCCTCAAAGAATCATCTTCCTAACTCTACCTCCCACAAAGCTGGTACGCCAAGCATGTTCATCATGAACGAACTGTACTCACCAGTCTCTACCCTTTATCTTCACCTGAGACCCAAAATCCTTTGTCTTGTCGAGTTATTTTTTGTCAGTCCTGAGGTTTGAACTCAGGGCCTGGGCACTGTCCCTGAGCTTTGATTTGCTCAAGGCAAGCGCTCTACCGCTTGAGCCGCAGCGCCACTTCCTGCTTTTTCTATTTATGTGGCACTGAGGAATGGAACCCAGGACTTCCCCCATGCTAGGCAAGCACCCTGCCACTAAGCCCCAGCCCGTCTGGTCGTGTTTTTAAAATGTGAATTACTTGTGGAGTATGCTCCCTAAGCTGACGTTAAAGCCACTTGGCTGGGAACTGTGTATTCCCTCATGTATTATAATGAAATAATGTACGTTAATAATAAATTTTTCTCTTGTTATGAAGTCTGCTGCAAACAAGAACCTTTCTGGTGTGAAGAAAACATTAGTGTTCTTCCTCAATCCTTCAAAGTAGCAAAGGCAGCCTAATCTCTTTCAGTTTCTAAAATGTGATGTCCCGTGAAGGTCAGTTCCAAAACATCAGTATGTTAGAGACTCCAGGATCATGGGTTCTAACCTCTTCATGCTGCAGGTGAGGGGCGGCTCTTTGCATTCAGGTTAAAGGAAACGAAATGCAATTCTGCTGGTAAAACAAAGTGGGGGGGGGTGGCCCATTCATTCCAGAAAATGTTCCAGTGAAATACTCTTTTAAATGTGCTCCCCGTGGGGTTGGGAAGGTGGCTCAGTGGTAGAGCGCTTGCCTTGAGGTGAAGAGCTGAGGGACAGCGCCCAGGCCCAGAGTTCAGGCCCCATGACCGGACCCCCCAAAAAATGTGCTCCCCGTATTGCATTAAGTTATGATTAGGCTTCTAAAAACAGAATCCACGTACCATTTCTCGGACGCGATCTAAGTTTTGCAGCCGCACATTCATTCCTGGTGCGTGGCGTGTGGACCAGGCTTTGTGCTGGCACCCCAGGGATTGGGGAAATGGTCCTCCGTTCTTCCGTGAAGTAGCATAGGACAGCGCTGTGGCCCGTTTGCTGCTTTTTATTTCTATTGAAATAAGACCAGGGCTAAGCAACATGGTCTTGTTCTCACACCCATACTGGTGCCTTGCTAGGTGGAGGCCCCTTTCCACCCAGCTCTGAGAAGCCTGGCGGTGAGAGCGGCCATTCATTGAATTGCAGAGGTCGTGCAACTTTGCTATGGAGAGCTCTGACCTCTGACTGTGTCCCTAAATGCTGTGATTGGCCCACCTCTTGACTATCCCCTCAATGAAAATTTTGAGGTGTATCCCCGGTATGGTCTGCTTCTGTTGGAATTGGATCCCCACCCCCAAAACGTGTGGTTTTTTTTTTTTTTATCCTTAGGAGCTTCATGGATGCTCCATTCGGGGCTGCAGGGCTTTGTGGAGAAGGTCTTACCTGCAGTTGGCAGCTCTCCAATAAAGACTCCCAACTCCGCCTCTCAAAATGTCGACTGGATTCCTGTGCAGCGCTCTCTCTGTCTGTCTCTCTCTCTCTCTCATACACACGCACGCACACACGTGGTAGGCACGTGTGCTATTTAACCCGGATGCCTGCTTCCTACTTGCCAGGAATTTGGGGATGGCGATCACTGTCTTTCTTCCCGAAAGAAGCATGATTAAGGTTTTGCCAGGGTGGGTCCATTCCGGGAGCAATCATCGTCCTCAGACGGCTCTACCCTCTGAGAGGGGCTGTCGCACAGTCTGCGATTGCAGAGAGGAGCTTTAAAATCTAGACCAGTGCCAGGGCCAGGTAGGAAACGGCAAGGAGACGCAATCCCCACGGAAGGAAGCAAGCCTCGGAGTCCAGGCCCAGGGGATTATCCAGGTCGGGGGGTCCCAGCCACAGAGGCGTGTCTAAGTAACAACAGAACGCGTGTTCCGGGCTCCACCCCCCCTCTGTCACTGGCTGAGATGGCCACGCTGTCTTTTTGAAGTGGGTGCCCACGGGCGAGGTTTGGAGCAGCCAAAAGAGAAAACCCGACGTGAGGAAACACAAGATTGAGTACCAGAACCCTCTGGGAGGGGAGGGGCGCGCTGTGATCTGGCCGGGAGCAAGGAACAGACTTGGGCAGCTGGCCTGGTGGAGCTCGGGTGGGGGCCGGGCACCCGGGAGCGGAGGTTGGCGCGGCTTCCCACCTCCCACGGCCAGGCTTGTGTCCTGCAGGGCTGATCGCCTCGGGGCTGGGGCCTTGGCCCCCGGCCTGTCCCTCGGAATGCACTCCTGGCCGTCCTGATGTGTCCCTGAGAGAATTCCGCCACTTCTGGGAAGACCTGTGACTGCTTCCATTTTCTCCTGGCTTGGTCAAGGACCCTTGGCTGGCCCGAGAGACTTCCTGACTTCTGGAGAGTGTCCACGGAGGTCATGGCTCTCTCCAGATATTCAGGCACGGACACTTGCCCAGCGTCTTGCAGTTACTGCTCTTTGGGGGAGGGGGGGGGCGCGGGTGTCTTTCAGAACAAGGGGTGAACAAGTTTGCCATTTAAACCTTATGGGTTTGAGTGCTCCGCTTGTAAACTTTAGTCTTTTGGTGATTACTCCTGTCCAAGTGCAGCTTCCTGTCCTCATAGGAACAACAACAAAAAATAGTCTCCAGGGGCTGGGAAGGTGGCTCAGTGGTAGAGCGCTTGCCTTGCATGCATGAGGCCCTGGGTTCGATTCCTCAGCACCACATAAGCAAAAAGGAAAAAGCCAGAAGTGGCGCTGTGGCTCAAGTGGTAGAGCGCTGGCTGGCCTTGAGCTGAAGAGCTGAGGGACAGCGCCCAGGCCCAGAGTTCAAACCCCACAACTGACAAAAAAAAAAAAAAAAAAGGTCTTAGAATGACTGTTTCAGGTTATGAACCAGTCATTTCTCCACCCTGACATTTTGTTAGGCTCCACATTTTTGCGAATGAGCGTGCTTCCCCTGAGTGTAATTTTTTAAATGTTGGAAATGGCCTGAATTTTATCAGCATGTGTACATAGAGTTTTAAAAACATCAAACAATTCCAAAGAGCTCATAATAGAAAACAGAAATCCCCTCCCAGCCCAGCCCTACCCAACCCCAAGCCTGTTTCTTCTTCTACTTCTGGTTATAATTTCATTTTCCTCAACCCTATATATAGTTTATGCTATTTTTTTTATTTGTCAAGTTTAGAAGATAACATCAAAGAGGAGCTCAGTTCGCTCTTATACCAACCACATTTCATTGCTTTTTTCACTCCTGCAATGTGTATGCTGTGGTTTTGGTTGAATCCATCACGATCTGTGTGCATAGTCACTGCTAAACCAACAGTCTAACCACGATATTTCTGTTTTAGAGTTGTTAGTTACCTTGGGGTTGTTTTTTTTTTTTCACTTGTCTTATTTTTTCGCTTGTTTGTATTCACTTTTTTCAAATACGTCTTGTAATTCCTCTTAAGTGGCTCTAAGAGAGTGTTCAGCAGCTCAGATAATTCTGCCATCAGCCCGCAGCTCCTACAAATGGGCTTCATTGTAATATGCGCCTGAGTAGGAGCAATGCTCAGCTTCACCCCTTAGCTGGCTCCACCCATCCATCCATCGCTAAAGAAACTTAATAGGCCAGGCGCTGGTGACTCACGCCTGTCATCCTAGCTACTCAGGAGGCTGAGATCTGAGGATCGTGGTTCAAAGCCAGCCCGGGCAGGAAAGTTCATGAGACTCTTATCTCCAATAAACCACCAGAAAACTGGAAGTGGCGTTGTGGCTCAAGTGGTAGAGTGCTCGCCTTGAGCTGAAGAGCTGAGGGATAGCGCCCAGGCCCAGAGTTCAAGCCCCACGACCAACAAAAAAAAAAAAGAAAAAGCAGTCAAGTGCTGGTGGCTCACGCCTGTCATCTTAGCTACTCAGGAGGCTGAGATGTGAGGATCATGGTTCTAAGCCAGCTAGGGTAGGGAAGTGCGCTACCTCTGAGCTACATCTCTGACCTTCACTTCCTTTTGACTGTGTCTTGGGTTTAGAGGGCAAGATCATCTGTTGGGGACAGTCCACCATCGCTGACCCATCCATTGGTTCTTCAGGAAACAAAACCCCTCTTTCACAGCCTGTGCGATTTTGAGAGTCTGGCGCTGTTTCTGGCCCCACGTTGGGATTTAATGATCACTGACATTATCCAAGCCATCCCTCTGGGCGCCGGCTGGCAGTCTGAAATGAAAGCCGGGGAAGGTTAAGAAGGCGGCCGTGGCGATAGCCCGACACCACATCTTCGCGGGTGTCCCTTTCCACCAAAGGACAGCCCATCTGTCTTCCCGTGGGCTGGGGCGTCATGGGATGAGATCCTACAAGCGGAAAATGTGTCCTGTTCTTCCTTCCCTCCCCTCTCCTTCTGGATTAATTAGGACAAGACATCTGGGCAGCTGTGCTCTGCTCTTCTGCAGTTCCCTGGGACTTAGCCCTTGATCTCTGGTCAGCTCCGTCCGCAACGCATTTGTTTCCTCTGAGCACCTTTGAAGGCGGCTTGTTTTACCCATGTGCCAAAAGCCAACGCGACCTAATCCTGCTGGGCCGACTTCGGATTCCCGAGGGCGCCGTCTGCACCCGGGGCCCGTGAGCTTCGCTTTCAGAGCAAACCCGCAAAAGCCTATTTGACTAATTTTTGTTCCA